ATCATTTTAGTTTCTTATTTTAACCCCAGTGTGTCGGCTAGATGTTTCTCAAATCTAACGCGTCTCGTCTCTAGATAAAGGTGGTTAAGGGGTGAGCGATAAGGACTACATTAAGGAAGACGCGTTACAACAGCCCCAATAAATTACACGACAGGTTTAATTCAAATTCCTAGACGCTGTCAGTTCGCGTTACTTTAATGTGCATATTTGGGAGGTTAAGGTTTGATAAATATCAAAAATTTTAAAACAATCTACGAAGAAATTAATTTGAAATTCGGTGGAGATATATATATATATATATATATATATATATATATATGGATGTAAGAATTCGTTGAAAAATACATCCCTAACTAAAGGAAAACCTTTCTTCAAACGTAACTAATAATTTATACAACAAAATACAGCGATAATGAACACGCAACCACCCCTTGTCTGGATGAATGGATTTCTATGTATCCTTGGAAACGTGAATTATGAATTTTTGCAGTGCCTTTAAAACCCAGTAATTTTAAAAATAAGTTACTCCAAAATTCGCTTGAGGATGAAATGGAACTAATATCTTTAATTTAATTACAAAATTAAATTCGAAGTTTTTAGCTTCCATTTTTGAAACAGGGTTAGAAATGTGTAGCGAAAAAACATATTTTAAATCAATTAATTTGTAATATTAATGCTCTGTAAATTTACATTGAGCACTATTTTGTAAAAATAAAAATATCTATAAGAACACCGGATTATATATCTTACTGTTCTTTCTTTTTATTTATATATACATATCTATCTATCTATCTATCTATCTATCTATCTATGTAATATTATATAAAATGTTCACTTAACTTTAAATAGCAATTTTTTTGTTGTTTTCCCCTACTTCGAAGTTTTAAATTAAATTCATATTTAAAGTTAAGTTATTTTTATATAATTTTAGTAATGCTCTATTTTCAGCTGTTATTATTTTAATATTGTTAATATTGAGCACTATATATAAAAATAGCTGCTGTTTCTTAAAGCTTATATATATATATATATATATATATATATATATATATATTAAAAAAATAAGAAGATCAGTTGAATTCGCTACCTTAGTGGATTCAAATAGCTCTACATGGTATCTTTATTTTTATTTTATTTTTTTCGCACGTGTATTGAGCATTTTTTAATAATATTGTTTCCTGGTCTAATTCAACTCTGACCATTAACGTTTTATGTATGAATACACAAACACGCACACACACAAACTCATACACACACAAACACACACACACACACATACACACACACACACACATATATATATATATATATATATATACATATATTGAAAATACATTAATTAATTGTCGGACTTTCATGATATGTTGTCATTGTTTATGTTAAGATACGTTTCGTGAGCAGATATGATCAATCGAGAAAAGTCGTCGCGGTTTGTGTGTTTATAAGCAGTAAATTGGACTTTGCTAACAAGATGCTTATCGGAAGCTGAATGGTATAGCACGTCAAAAAGTTTCCGTATAGGAATACAGGTTCCTATATATATATATATATATATATATATATATATATATATATATATATATATTTTCTTCTTAGAATAAGGTGATATTTAGCTATTCCATATTTGTCATATGCGTATTTTGACCCTCGGTGGTTTTAGTTGATGAGTGCATAATAATGTGTACTCACTAACTGCGCTTAATGTAAGATATTAATAATGAAAACGTTGTGGTCTCGGTCCCAACCGACATCAATTCAATTTTCACGCTGCCAAATCTCAAAATCAATGCAAATGGTTGGTAGGTATTTTGAAATTCGTGTTATTTCCAGTGAAATCTCCATGTGACAAATCTATATAAAATACAGAGATTGAAGCTTTACACTCTCTTCATATACAAGAACTTATCACGCTAGAAATGTTTCCCTTCATTCCAACAGCAGATTATTGATAACTTGTTTCTAAGTGAATTGGCCGCTGGCAAAACTCAGTGATCATCGCTTCCCGGAATTTCCTGGTGATTTTCATTTGTACATAAATTACTTTCTTCTTATCTAAAAACCAATGCAGGCTCTTCTCTTGGAGAGGATAATGCATGTCGTATTACACGCCTCGCTCAAAATTGCTTGCTTATTCTTCTGGATTCAGATCTGATGTATTGGCTACCGTGTTGAAGTTTTAAATTTGTGTATTGCCTGACCTGATAGACACAAAAACACGCTATAAACATTATATTTAGTTGGCGCCAGGAAATGAATTTCGAGCTAGTCTCATTGACCAGCGAATAGTGATTTTGATCTTCACTGAATTACCCATAGTTATGGCGTTGTATCAAACTACATTGTGTTCCGAAAGTCTTGTCACCTCCAAATGTAATGAGAACAATAGAACAACACGTAATACAGTAATACATATTCTTTTAGTTTATTTACTACCATTGACGCTGTCACACATTGAGTATGTCTGTATGAACGCCATTATTTTCGGGGTACAAAATGATGCGGCGCCGTGTCTTATATGATATTTTACGAAGCTGTGCTTTGTTGATTGTTCCAAAGGCCCTCCGAACGGCGTACTTCACCTGATGGATATTCTGGTATCGTTCACGTGAAACTCTCTCCTTGATAATAACCCACAGAGCGTTGAAATTGAAAATGATATTAAGTAGCGAGTGACAAGGCTTTCGAACCACGCTGTAAACTTAGTAAATTACGATAATGGCGAAGAAACATTCTATTTTACTGCGGCGCGAGAATAAACAGAAGGAAACGATTTCTGTTTTTGCTTTAAGTCCAGGATGCGAATTACAAATTGGAGAACCCAAAACTATATTAGTGCAAAAATTTAAGCCAGGATCCGTCGCTCGGGACGCAGAGATGAAAAAAATAGTTAAATATTCTTCTCTTGCTGATAGATTTTTTTTTTTACTCCTGTGGAAGTGGAGACTTCAGGGGTTATTGGCCCTCGTTCGATTGCGTTCCTTCCGAGGATTGGCGCGATAGCGTCTCGATTAAGGGACCAGCCTCGTGAAACGGAATGGCTCTTGCAGCGTGTCTCACTGGCGATGGTTCAAGCTAATACTTTCTCCATCATTGCGGCTGGCAGAGGTTAAAAAAAATTGTTTATTGTTACGTTGTTCTGGAATTGTCATCAGTGGTCAACTGTACTTGTTTTGTTTCAATAAATTTTATTTTTAAAAAATTCAAATTCAAAATACGTCATCACAATGTGTGTCATGATTAGAGGGAAAAATTCCAATTTGAATTAGAACCATATAAAAATATCCAAATAAGATGCTGACAAAAACAAAGATTTGCTCTCGTTGAAAAATCTTGTTTTACTCCCAGAAGATGGCTAAATTGGTTGAAAATACTTGAGGAAATAATATATGGAAATACCTCTATAAACTTGAACTGTCAGTAAAGAACACTTGTAGGAAAATTTAAATATCTAGAGAGTGTTTTACAGAGTAGTGAAAACCCGACACCAAAATTCGAAAGCGCATCGGGATAGGGAATGATGCCTGCAAAATGGTAAGCAAATTAATAAACAGAACGTCGACAGAAACAAAGAAACGAGTACTGAATTGTTACGTAATAGCCATCCTCTTATATCACAGTGAACGCTGGACAATCTTACCACAGATAGAGATGAAATAACAGAAATATGCTTCTACGGAACTTTGGTGAGAATACTATAGACCGGACATGCAAGCAACGACGATGTTTTATAAAAAATGGGAACGAAACGAATGCTTATAATTAGCATCAGAAGGGCACCTCCAGGTGGTGTAATGGTTAGCAAGTTTGTCTCGCTAGAACAATTATGACTGGGTAGTGAGTTCGATCCTCACTGTGTGCACCATACTTTCGGCCTTGTGCCACATCTAAGCTACGCTTGGAAAATAACTATAGTTAGCATCAGAAATTTGACAATTAAATTACTAGGACGCATAATGAGGAAAGAGGGCTTGGAAATTTTGAGACTCACAGGGAATGTCGAAGGTAAGAGGGATATAAGAAAAGAGCTGATAACCTAGCTTGCGTAAATAGTTGTCAGAATAGGAATTAGCAGACGTAGCAAAAAGACAATTTTTTCTAACGACTACAAAGAATAGGAATCTGTCTATATTTCTGAGATGAGGCATTATGTACATTATTTACATTATTCGGACTATCGTCCTCATCTTTGTCGCCATATTTATTACAAAGTTTTGGCCGTTGTACGCTCCGGTCTTCTTCAGGTGGTTGGAATGGCGAACTGAACCCTTTATTTCGCTCACTGGGGTAGACTGTTCTAGTTCCACGTGCCATGTTTTAATGGATGTCAGTTATCAGTTATCTCCTGCTAATTTCCTTCTGAAAGTTCTCCACATGGCACATGGCACAGTGGATAAATGCGTTGGTTAGATCCAGTGACAGGACCCAAAGAGTGTGAGTTCAATACCCGGTTAAGGCAGTGGAGTACCACGATCGCTGTCGTTCTAAAGAGACACGGGTTATAGAAGAAGTGACAGGACACAAAGAGTGTGAGTTCAATACCCGGTTAAGGCAGTGGAGTACCACGATCGCTGTCGTTCTAAAGAGACACGGGTTATAGAAGAAGTGACAGGACACAAAGAGTGTGAGTTCAATACCCGGTTAAGGCAGTGGAGTACCACGATCGCTGTCGTTCTAAAGAGACACGGGGTATAGAAGAAAGTAAGTTTTTTTTTCTAATACGAACAGATGCGTTGATGTTGAGGCGTTCACTCATACGATTCATGACTTCGATAGAATATTTTTGGATTTTTAAATGAACTTGATTCTAAAACATGCAAAATGGTATAAAAGTCCACCGAACCGCATTGACTAAGATTTCTTGTTCTCTCCCATCAATTAAATACTCGTGAGTATGGTATGAATTCACTTTTTCCTTTTCTTTATATCTAAAGAAAAAAGAAAAATAACGAATCCTTAGCTCTCTACGAGGGTAGACGGGGAAGTAAGTGAAAGTAAAGGTTTATGGCCGTAACACGTTGAAACACCGGCTCCCGTACGATCACTGAAAAGCAAAGTCGAGCCTAGTCAGTACCTAGATGGGTGACCGCTTGGGAATATCAAGTGCTCTAAGATTGAATGTGTGGTTGCTGGAATGGATAATGCCTTGGAATCGTTAATCAGAGAGCCGAGTTTCAATTCCCGTTGGGTTCGTTATATTCACTTACGGGCAAATACTCTTGGGAAAGGTATGAATCTACTTCTCCTTCTCCCCAGCTATGGGTTAATTATTAACACTTGTATCACTAAAATATTATTATCTAAAAAAATTCTTATAATCTAAAACAATTTTCTGGTTTTAAATAACCTGGAAATGGCTGATAAACCGTAGAAAACAAATCAACTGAAAGTAAGTAGTAAGCTCTTACATATATTGTAAGCCTTGACAAGGGCTACTTAATTTTATATGTTAACCTGATCTATTAGTTTTTATGCTTTTACCTTTTACGCGCCTCACAGAATATTTTCCACGCTAAAGAGATATCAGTTTTAAAAAATGTTTCTGCTTAGAATGTAGAACGCATTAACGGTTTTCATGGCTTAAGTGCCTTTCTCCAAACCAAGACAACCATTACCATTCTTAACCTCCTATCACTTTCACTGCAGATATCACATTATCATATATATATATATATATATATATATATATATATATCTTCTGAGTTTGTCCCATTAAGAATTCTTCATCTATAACATGGCTTCAGGTTTGGGGGTTGAAGCCGCCATCAAACACTTCACACAAAGAAATATACGTTCTTAATTTAATTTAATTTTTTTTGTGTGTTCTGGAGGTGAGAGAGTACGAATTTATTTATTTATTGTTATGGGACCTTACCCATAATAATATAATGAACTATTCCATACGTAATAAATACTGCGCCTCAAGAGGAAGCGGAGAGTTGAGTCTGAAGTCTAGAGTTCAGTCTGAAGTCTGGAGTGAGGTCCGTCAGGAGTGAGGTCCGTCAGGAGTCTGTCAGTCAGTCACAGCGAGCGAGTCAGTCAGTCGAGTCAGAGGCAGTCCGAAACAGAGTCGCGTTCAGGCAATTACTACTAAACCTGATTGTTCGTACTAACACTTTCTACTTCTCTGTATATATTCCTGTTTGTAATATATCTGTGTTATTCCATATCCGTGTTCGAGTTCTTCTTTATTGCTTCTACATTAGACTATCACCGTGGTACAAGGAACCGGATCATAACATTTAATTATTTATTTTATTTTATTTTATTTTTTTTTTTTTTTTTTAGAAAAAACTCATATCTTTGCTCAACAGAATTCTGCTTGTCCCTGGCTTACTTCCTTGTTTGGCGCGTTCGTTATGCCTTGCCATATATAATGAACTATTCCGTTCCGATCGAGTGATAAGGTTGAAAATACATATCTGAGACGTTACTTGGTTTCAACGAGAAAAAGAAATAAAGAAAGAACCGCCCTGCCAATACCTCTAAAACAATGAAACATTCCGTTTTGTTCGCCAGGAACAAAAAAAAAAAACGGAAAAGACATATCAGAGACGTTGTTTGATTTCAGCGCGAAAAGGAAAGAAGGAAAGAAAGAAAATACAATTAAAACAGAAAAACCATGAAATTTTCATGGGTACTAGGAGTAATTGCAGAAAAAAATCGACTCGACCAAGTAAAACCTTTCCTCACTACGAAAGAAAGAGAGAAAAAAAAATCACATGTTTGGTCCTTTGGTCAAGTGCTGGGAAGTGGATCAAACCGATAATTTTTCAGAAAATCCTGGTATATATTCTGAAATATTGATTAAAATTAGGACGAATCATAAGTAAATTCCGTTTTCTTTTATTACGAATGTATCATTCTAACTACTAATCATTAGCGAATGTTAAAAATAAATTTGGAGGATGCTAACATATAGCTATTTTCAATGTATCAGGTCATCCTATAAGTTCTGTCCGAATTTTAACTTTTTATTAAAATGAACGAAATTTAAAGAGTATTTTATAATGTCAAATGGAGCTGGATATTATTTTTTTATGTTTAGATGCATTTAAACTGATCAAATTTTATTTCAGAGAACAATAAAATTAAATTTTGTTTGATTAAAACCCGGCTAACATGGAAGTACCCAAGAATCATTTGAGGCACATAATGCTTTATGAGTTCAAGAAAGGAAACTCAGCAGCCGAAGCGGCTAGAAACATTCACTCAGTTTATGGAGGGGAATGTGTGAATGAAAGAACTTGCAGAATTTGCAAAGTTCAGAGGTGGAGATTTCACCCTTGAAGATGAAGATCGAACCGGACGTCCAGTTGAATTTGATGAAAAGCTTCTTGATAATCAGGGAAAATACATTGTTGATTGAATCTGTAATTAAATGTAACATTTGGTCATTTGTTTTCTTTATTCAAAATTCGGACAGAACTTATGGGATGACCTGATAATATGCATTGGAATAATAAGGGTAAGACTCCACAGCCGATACCGATATATATTATATATTACCGATACCAAAAGCCTAAATACCAAGAGTTCAATGGAAAAAAGCAAATGCAGTGAAACACTAAATAGGCATGTTCACATCCAGCAGCTGCAACGTGTCCATAAACTTCTGGTCGAAACGTGCCCTGCCATCGTTTATGAGAAACAGTTGTTTGCCTCCATGGCAATGCTAGGCTGCTACAGGAAAATATTTTTGAATTTATTTGCTCTGTTCTACCCCCATCCACTGTGTTCACCTGACCTTGCGCTAATCGATTATTATTTTTGTATCACTACAAGCTGCTTTGATAGGGAAAGATTACGTCTAATGAAAACTATATTCAAAAGTTCATCTGGAACTTTTCACGTTAAAATCTACGGAATTTTACTTGATATGTAACAAGAACCCATTTCAAATAATAGTGAATATATAATTGAACAATATGTAATTGCCATTTTTTATGTTTTTAAAGAATAAAGCTGACCAAACAAAAACGGAAATTATTTATGACTCAACCTAATATATACAATACTTCCCGCTGGAACAATATTCGAACAGAGATACGCGTGTAGGCTGAAAAATTCAGAGGCTGACTATAAAGGGGTATTGACAGAGCTGTGAAATTTTGTATACGTTAATTTAAACTATTCTTCTTAATAACTACACTGTCAGTTTACCTGGAAAAATGCAATGCGGTTATTAATAAAAAGAGTTGAAATTAATGCATACAAAATGTCACAGTTTTAGTAGAACTCCTTCATAGTCAGCCAATGAAATTTCAACCCACTCTCGTAAAAGCCAGAAATGTGAATACTATATTTGAATGTAAACATGCAGTGAATGTCCTGATACAACCACATTTTAACTTTTTTCTTCTGCTACCAGAAATATAATATTAGTATCTAAGGCAAACATAGTGTCAGAATGCTAACTTTTAAGGCAAGATTAATATTCATGGTCTTATTTTACTATCGTCCCAATTTTACCCATGTTTATTTTTCTTCCAAAAATGTGAATTCTATTATCGTAAAACGGTCCCATTTTACCTGTCTTCTATTGCCTGTTACTGATTGTTGGTGGACTCACCCGTCGTATTCGACGTATGAGGGTCAATCAACTCAGTTCTTAGGAACCGACAGCCCAGACACCAGCACATATGATTTGATTATAGTGGTGAAGGCCGTGTAAAGGCTTTGAATTCAGAATTGTCCTTCTCCTACACCAGTTGCCATCCAAGGTTTGTCCCGCTATTTACCCACAGGGTATTAGCTTGTAAGTGAATGTAATGGATTCTACTGGAATTTGAACTTGGCTCTCCCAATTCCTCAATCCGAGCTGCTATCCATGACTCTATGACTGAAGATTGATTGTTAGGGATATTTATAATGTTACTCGGAGACACAATAGAATAATGATAGTGGCTCGGATTGAGGAATCCGAGAGCCGAGTTCGAATTCCAGCTGAGTCCTTTATATTCACTTATGTACAAATGCCATTAGAAAACATATCAATCCATTTCTTCACCATCTAGCTATGGGTGAATGGTAAGACTGTATCCTATAGCTGAAAATGCTCTTGCGAAATGTATGAACCCATCTCTTCCTCTCAGCTACGGGTAAATAGCATAGACTGGGTCCTATTGTCTTGGGTGGCAACTTGCCTACAAGAAGGACAACTCTGAGGGGTCGGTGACTTAACAGCCTCCTCGACCTGACATCTGGTCCGTTGAAGAGGGTAAGTGGAACCCCAGCAGCACAAAAAAACAAAGCCGTTAAAATGGCGGATAAGTAAACGGTCAGCCATCCCAACTATAGGGTAAATAGCCACAGCATCCCGCAATTCTCAGCGTGGTCAGTATAGTTACAATCCTGAAAACATTGTCAATTATGGAGGTATTTTTCCAACAGGAGTAAGTAGGCCCTGGATTTACATCTGGATTTGGATATTTGGGAAGAAAATGTTGTGATTTTCTCAAAAAATTTAAATAAATTCCACTTAACTTGGTCAATTTTTAAATATATTATAATTATGGATTTTATTAACCTATTGGTTTTCTTTATGAGTTTTAAAATTAAATTCATTAAGGATTGTCACAGATCAAAGGGAGTAAGTATACAATGTTTAGTAGTACTTAGTTTACTAAAACAAATATCTCATGGAACGATTTTCGTAATACCGGAAACTTAAAAAAATGAATAAAAAAGGAATATATTAATTATATTAAGAGTTTATATGCGGGTAACGTAATGATTATCGGGGAGGAGGTTTATGTCCATAACACGTTGAAACACCAGTTCCCGTACGATCACAGAAGTTAAGAAACGTCAAGTCTGGTTAATACCTAAATGGGTAAGCGCTTACCAGGTGCTGTAAGCTTGAATGTCCGGGCGATGTAATGGATAATGGCTCACTATTGTTAATCGGAGAGCCGAATTTCAATTCCTCTTGGATTCTTTATATTCACTTATGTGCAAATAATCTTGGTAAAGGTATGAATCCAACTCTCTCCCTAAGATATGGGTTAATTAGTAATATTTGTATTATAACCATTAAAATATATTGTGCACAAAATATTTAGATTTCGACATTAAATAACCTGTGGCGGTTGATATGCGTTTAAAC